CTAGCCATATTTCATGTGCTCAGTAACTACACATGGCTAGTGACTGCTGTACTGGAGAGCGCAGGTATACGATGTTTCCAGCAACGCAGAAAGTTCTGCTGGACAGCACTGGTACTCTTCTATGTGCTGCTTGTTTTTGTTTGATCTTACATTCGTATAATTTATCCAGCTTGTTGTATGGAGCTTTAGCTTATTCATTTTCATTACTAAATAACTTTCTACTTTATCAATATAACACAATTTATATCTCCCTTCTGTTGATAGACATCTGGATTGTTTATACTTTTGTCAATTGTGAACAATATTTCTATGCACATTCTCATATATGTATCAAGATGCACATTCTCATATATGTATCAAGATGCACACAGAATCCATTTCCCTACCATTGGGCCAAAGGGTGTGGGTATCTTCAACTTTACTAAATAATACAAAATTGTTTTCCAAAGTGGTTATACTAACGTTCAGTTTCACCGGCAGCATCTGTGAGTTCATATTGCTCCACATCCTTGTCTACACTTGGTATTGTCAGACTTACATGTTTGTCCTTCTAGAGGGTATGTGGTGGTGTCTCATTGTGAGCTGGGATTTTTTCACTTTGGCATAAAAATAACAAATATATATTGATTATGCACCATAGAAGCATGCACACAGGTAGCGATGTACATAAGACATAGCTCCGATCCTTAAATAGTTTTGATCCGTAGGAAAATAAGACATGTATACAGATAACTGTGTATAAGGGCAGCAAGAGGTAAAATCAAAGAACTATTGAAGTTTAAGGAAGGAAGACTCATAGCCAGCCATCCGCTCTGCTCATTTGGTAAATACCTCAAATTAAATATGTCCAGCACTGTGCTGTTCGTGTTTCTCCACCACCCCGAGTTGTCCCTTCTCCACTGCTCACATCTCACTGAGTGGCACCATCTTCCACCCTGTTTCTCATGCCCGAGTCTTACAAGTCATCATGACACCTTCTCATCCTAACTAAATGGACTGATGACTGGTCAGTCCTACTACGTGGGCACCACTCAGATCTACCCACTGCTCCGCATCCATGAGCACCTCCCTGTGTGACGTTGTCATCAGCCCTCGCCACAACTGCTGCACCTGCCTCCTGCTTGGTCTCCCCACATCCGCTCGGGACCTCTTCCTGTCCGTCCTCCACAGTAGTTGGAGGAATCTGACGAAATGAAGCATGTCCCTCCTCTGTTTCAAATGCTTCCATGGCTTCCCATTGTGCTCAGGACAAAGGTCCCAGTTACCTGGCCCTTCTTTCCTGTCTGGTCTCATTTCCCACCACTCTTCTCCTCAACAACCAAGTGCATGTCCTTCATCCTGGCCTTATTTTGGTCCTGAATATACTGGATTCTTCCAGAACACGCACTATTTCCTGAACCTGAAATTTAGGAACTCTGTTCTCTCCACCACCTACATTCATGGTTTCAGCCTAAATGTCCCTTTATTAGGGAATTGCTTGTTGGATATTCAGCATAGGCTGGGTCCCCTGCCATGTACTCTTATGGCTCTCTGTCCTTTCCAACTTAGCACTTACCAAAATTACTTTGAATCATCATGAAATTACTGGTTAATGTCTTTTCCATTGCCCATAAGTTCCATGAACTCAAGTACCTTGTGTCTAACTTGTTTACCACTATATCCTCCATGCTTAGCACAGTGTTTGGTAGATAGTAGGTTCTCAAATTATTGAATGGATGGGAAGACCTCACGGAGGTTGGGCTATTTAGTTGGATCTTGAAAAATGGGCAAAATTTGAACATTCAGAGGTGGGCAGGAATGGTTAGGTAAGAGAGATTTCTAGAAGATGAAACAGCTTACTGTTCTGACAACAGTAGACAAGTCTGTATTAAAACTAAAATTTTAAAAGGTATTATTTATGCATGTATTGAAACAACACACTCTACCCCACAAATATGTACAAGCAAATGTTAAAATATTTTCAATTTAAAAAATAAAATAAAAAGTAAACCTAAAAAAAATTTTTTTAATGAAAAAGGTATTGTGGACACAGTCCAGACACCTTGGACGATCTTGGACTGCTGCCCATTCACTCACACAGTAGAGAGTTGAGCACGTTTTGCTCACTTGCCATGTGTCTGGCACTGCAGACTGTGCTGTGAATGGAGCCCCTGGAGTCGGGCACTGCGGCCTTGGGGAAAGGTACTCTTAGCAATATGCAGAATGTATACGACGTGGTCTCTGACCACAAGACGTTATAACCTAGTAGAATCAACATTTTTAAAAAAGAAAAGGTACTACCATGCATATGTAGACAAAACAATCTTAGTCTGCTTAGGAAATATGCTGTGCATGTGTCTTTTTGGTTTCTCCATCATGAGGGGAGTAGTTAAATTTCGAGAAGTAGCAGCCAAGTTAAATTTGGGGGTGGAGGGGCGAACTGACTGAACTGTAGGAGATGATGGGCAAACTTTATTTCAAAGGTTCTGTTTATAGGAGATGAGAATTCAGTCTTGTCAGAGATTGAAGTCCCTAGAGAGAATGTTCAGAACAACTTGAGAAGCCCAAGGTGGTAAATGGGCAGCATTCATCCTGAGGTTCTAAGAGAAGTAAAGTGGGAAAGGGGGAGGGGGATTCTGACAAGGGGGTACAATGTATCCTTAAGACAGGCCTGCTGCTTCTACAGATTAGAAGGTTCTAGTGTGATTGTCTGCCTTTTGGAAAACTGCCCAGGGAAAGTCTAGGTGTACAGGAAGGTAAACCTAATATCCCCTCGGAGGAGCTGACTAGGAGCCTGATGTGCGTGGAACAGCCATGATTCGGTTCTCTTGTAGTGTCTTTCATTCGTGAAGCTTGAATGGCCTTGCCAGTGGGATTGCCTATAGCCCTGCCCTGTGAAGCGCCGCGTGTGTGCACTGGCTCTCCTAAGAAATACAAAAGCCACCGTAGCCCACACCCACCCGGCGGGTGCACAAGAACTCACCTCCCTCCAAATCCTGGCATGGGCGAAATATGTGTAGGGAGCCGCTGGATCTAAGCAAGATGTGTCCTAGGAAACGAGTTGTTACAGCAGTTTCCAGAAGGCGTAGGCGTTGCTGGGCGTAGGCGTTGCGAGGGCGTAGGCGTTGCTGTTGTCCATTTGGATGTCACCTGTAAAGTTAGTGAGAAGAACAGTGTGGTGTCTAGTACACAGCACGTGATAATAATTGACATTTATCCATCACTTACTACATACCAGGCTTTTTTCTAATCTCTATGTGTATTATTTTAATGCTCACAGTAATCCCATGAGGAAGACACCCCATTTTACACGTAAGAAAGTTGAAGCACGGAGAGATTAAGTAAATTGCCTAAAATCATAAGAGGAAGATTCTAACCCACACACCTGGCCCCAGAGCTGAAACATAGAACCCCTACCCCACATTCTTTTTGAGCAGAGCAGGAAGACATGACTTCCTCTAGGTTTTCCTCCTTGTCCAGCTCAGTTTGTCACCACATTCCACATGAATGGATTGTGCCCCAACTAATTGTGAGGCTCTGACATAAAATAATATGACTGTCATGAAATGAAGTAAAAATCCCCATCAAGGGAAAAAGGTTAGAAAATTGACATAGATTTTCTTCTGCCTCTACTGTTGACAACAGACAAAACATTTAGCCAACAGGAGATTGAACTTCAGGACCCAATATGAAACTTTGACTTCTACACATTAGCATTCAAGCCAAGGAACAGGTCCAAGGCAACTTGTCACATGATCAGGGACAAAATGGTCTGTCATCTGCAGCTCTCCTGGCTCTGGCCTCAAACTTCATTTCTCACCCACTAACCCACATGAAAAGCTGAGCAATGTTAGCCTCTGAAAAAAAGTGGCAGCAGTTCAAAAGCAGGATCTCCTCCTGCTCTGGCATCACTGAGAGTGCTGTTCTGCAGAGATTCTTGCCAGGCCAGCTTTCCACTCAGAAACTGGACACGCTTTCCTCTCAGGGCAGCTGGCATTCACCTGTTCTAAATATTGGGTTTTGGTGTATGCTTCATTGGAAGGAATATTTCCTCTGCTAAAAAGAACATTTATTGGGGAAAAAGATTCTTAAAGGGACGTAGTTTTTCTAAAAACAGAAGATTTACTTTTCAATTATTCAAAAAATATTTGGCAGGGAACCTTAGTGTGTTCCAGGCACTAATCTAGAAGCCAGGGGTAGAGCAGGGATCAAAACAGGAAAGTCCTTGTGCTTATGGAGCTTTTCTCCTGTTCCTTTTTAAAGTATGGATTTTCAAGGAAATAAATGATATGTTTCGATGGTATTTGTGGAGAAAATGTTTCATTCAGGAAATAACTTAAATGAAGCTAATTAATACCACGATTTTGAACCCTTACACAGTACTAGATACATGTCAAATATCGTATGTTGGCAATTTATGTTTTCATTTAATCTTTGAAACAGCTCAATTTGAGGCAGGTACTGACATCCCCTCCTCCAGAGAGGAGGCTGGGACGTGGCATCACTGACTGGCTTGTGGTCACAGGCTGCTGGCGGCGGCCTTGCTCTTACCTGCTGATGCCCTCAGGTGCAGAGGGAGAGCATGGAGAACTCACGGGTGATGACTGAGGTTAGGACCATGTCTGACTCCCAGAGGCTGGGCCGTGGATTTACATACATCAGATGTCAAAGGCAGCCTTCAGCATCCCGGCATTCATGTATGATCTAGGGAAGCTGCTGAAACTTCCAGTCTAAGAAATAATTCTGTTATGGTTTTCAGGACTGTGTGTAAAAGTCTCAAACCTTTGCCAATGCTTTATGTCTGTCAGTGATCAAAGAACAAGTTAATGAGATTTACCGTAAAATGTAAAGAACTATAAGTCATTTCCAGTCTTAATAGCAGAATAGGAAGTTGAGAAGGTGTGTAGCATTTCATCTCTAAAGCAGCGTGTGTGTGGATGGTCTCTCTGTAATATGCGTACCTTCTGGGCCTAACAGATTGCTTTTGCTAATTTTTGTTTTGTTTTGTTTTTCCTTCCCAGATGATCATTCCCGGGTGAGGCTGCAGACAATAGAAGGAGACACCAACTCAGACTATATCAATGGAAATTACATTGATGTATGTATTTTGAAACTGTCAGTAAACCCAACCGTTCTGACATGTACCAAACTGTGTCTGCTGTCTAAGACTGACGGACAGACGCTGGGCTGAGTCCAAAAGCAAACACATCTGTGTTGCCCCCCACACTGCAGAACTCAGCAGTGAAGAAGCGATCACTCCTTTTTTCATCAGCCTATTTGTTCGTGAATTTCTCTGTAACATTCTATCCCTTCTTAGCCATCTCTTGCTCATGTGGACTAAGAAAATGTTATTTCCATTTTTTGTCAACAACTTATAGTATTCGACACTTTGAAAAATCTGTTTGCATATTAATGGGACAAAACTCTCTAATTCCTAATATGATGATTTGCAATCTCTAGTCATCACTGCACTTTTAAGTTGCCTTCAAAGTAGTCTGCAGCTGTTCACCAGGACTTCTAATGCAAGCAAGACATGTCATTAAATATGTAGGCTGTTTAATTATTGAAGACTGCTGCTTTGTTCATTCTGCATCATGTTAACTTAATGTTTTACATTAGAATAAATTCTTTAGGAGACAGCACGTTTTCAGTTGAAAGAATGAATGAAATCAAAAGCAGAAAGAAAAATCAAGGGAAAGTTGCTTTACCTTCAAGGCCTGAGTTCACATTAAAAGGATTTCAGCTCCCTGTGGTTCCTAAGGCACATTCTGAGATTGGCCGACAAACTGTCTCTTAGTCCATCGATGCTTCCGTGGACAGGTTTTATCTGTATATATATATATGGATTGTTTTATTTTCTTAGTTGAGTGTTACTCAGATGCTACTAAAAGTAACTAGCATCACAACCTCTAGGAAAGAGTTATCTAAACATAACTCTAAGAATGCTAGTTTTAGTGCTAATTGGAAACGTTTGACATTTTTAGTTAACAGATTTGTGGATGGTATCTGGGGAATGATTATTTAAAGAACAGTTCACATGTCATTCATCAAATGAAGACTCCTATACCATTTTGATAATGGCCAAAAACACAGCCATTAGATTTTCTATGAAAGCAGCGTTTCTTCCTAGGGTGCGTGGCACTCGCTGCTTCCTGCAGCGCGTGTTTAATCAGCATGCATGGGGGTACTCAGAGGTGTCCAAGACCTGTTTCCTTCTCCCACTGCCTCACAGTTCAGAAACTGATACATGAAGTGTCTCCTCCAATATGTCTCACCTCCAGGTTGACTGTAACACACCTCCCTTGGAAGGTTCCCGGGGAGCCTGTTCACACTGCAGTCCCAGCTCCTGCAATCCCTACTGTTTCCTTGAGCACAGGGACAGTGTCCTACTCATCTCTGTATCCTCTGCACCTGGCACATGCCTGAAACATAGTGAGCACTTAGTAAGTGATTAATGAACTGCTGACTGCAAGAGTAAATGTGGTCAGGGTAGGCATTGCAGAGGAGGTAATTTGAACTCGCTTTCAACAATGGGTGCGTAGAGATACAGAGGAGAGAAAACAATTAGATCAAGGACATAACATGAGCAAGGCTATAAAATAATGAAAATAGCAGATTTATGGGCTTTGATTTTATTTTAAGAGAGAAGGGTTAATACTCAGGGCCCCATACACACTTAGTCTGTTGGGTCCTTCTGAGCACCTATGTGTCAGTTACTCTTGTAGGTGCTGGAGTTATAACTGTGAGCAATTCAGACCAAAAACAAAACCAACAGAGCTGATGTTCTGTTCTGGAGAAACAGACAATAAATAAACTAACTTAATTCTGTGTGGTATACTAGAAGGTTGTATGTGCTATGGAGAAAACTAAAGCCATCGAGGGGGAATAGGAGTGTCGGGTTTGGAGGTGCATCGCAATTTAGGGTAGAGTGTCTGGAGTCAGTTCACCTGTAAAGGTGGCCTTTGAGCAGGGAAGATGAGGACTCGAGCCATGTAGCTATCAGGGAGAGGAGCAGGGGCCTTGCTGTGCAGCTGGCCTGGTGAGTCCGAAGTAAAACAAGCAGGCGAGTGTTGGTGGAACGGTGGGAAGGGGCCGAGGGAAGTTGCAGTGATGAGGTAAGAGGTCGCAGGGCTGGGCACTGTAACAATTACAAGGTCCTCTGCTCTTACTGTGAGTAGGATGGGACGTCTTAGAGGGATTTGAGCAGAGCAGTGACATGATCTGGCTGCTGGAAGGAGAAGACACTGGGTGGGCAGGATTAGAAACGAGGAGACCTGCTGGGTGGCTGTGGAAGCGATTAAGCATGATGATGGTGGTGTGGCCGGCATGGCAGCTGTGGAGGGTGAGAAGTGGAGAGATCCTGGATCCTCGGTGAAGGCAGAGCCAGTGGGATTGGCCAACAGATTGGCCACGGGGTGTAGGAGGAAGAGAGGGGTCAAGGATGCCGCTCCCCGAGGAGACTCTGGGGAGCAGATTTGGGTAGAGATTAGGGAGGGAACCAGGAGCTCAGTCTTAGTTGCACCCAGCTGTAAATATAGGCTCGACATGCAAGTGGAGGTGTCGAGCAGGCAACTGATGTCACATCAGGATTTCAAGGAAGAGGTCTGGGCCGGAAACAAGAATGTAGAATTCATTGGTGTACAGATGGTACTGAAGGCCATGGGACTGGATGCGACCACCCAGACAGTGAGCACAGAAGAGGAAAAAGTCTAAGACTGGGCATTCCAACATCAAGGTCAAGGTGAAGGGGAGAACCAGCCAACGAAACCGAGGACAAGTGACCAGGGAAGTGTGTAGGAAGAAAGCCGATAGGTCAAGTAGGTGGTGACTGAGAAATGACCATGCTGTTCAGTGACACAGGCCATTTGTGGACTCTGTGGATTACTTCAGTTTATCAAATGAGTCCCTCCTATCTAGTAGGCATCTTGTTATGTATGCACTGGACATATAGAACTAATAAGTCAGACAAAATTCTTGCCTTTATGGGGCTTATCAGCTAATTAGAAAAGAATTCTATTTAATATTGGTCATGATTCTACAATTGGAGACCTGCAGCAGGTCAGTTGTATAAAAGAATGTGGTGTTCTACATTGTTGTCAACTTAAGTGCAAAAAATTCCTAACACTTGTAAGTATGCATTTAAGTTGTCTGAGAAACGTGTGTTTCCTCACCAAGTTTTCTTTTTCTGCTTTCCAGCCAGCTTTGGGCACATAATTTTGGGTAATCTGAGGGGGACAGAAATGGAAAGTATTAAGGTCTATGGTGATATGATATGTTACCTGATATATGTTTCCCTGAGTTGGCATTATCTTTTCCAAAAGCTTATCCTACAATTTCTTAGCTCCCTTCTCTCTTGGGTTCCAACTTCCATCTTTCCCATTTCTCATAGATGGCCATCTGAGGGGGACAGAAATGGAAAGTATTAAGGTCTATGGTGATATGATATGTTACCTGATATAAGTTTCCCTGAGTTGGCATTATCTTTTCCAAAAGCTTATCCTACAATTTCTTAGCTCCCTTCTCTCTTGGGTTCCAACTTTCATCTTTCCCATTTCTCATAGATGGCCATGATGAAAGGAAGGCGTCTTGCAGTATTTCTACCTCTCTAAGTTCATAGCCCTGGCCACGGCATCATGTCATGGCATTAGCAGTGTTTCCGAATGGTTTCGAGTATTATTATTGATATAACTGTCAATACTGATACAACAGAATATGTGTTAAACGCTTGGCAGGTTGCCAATAACCTCCCAAACACAAATGAAATTCTATTGCACATCCCCAGCCTGTCTGCACTTATAAGAGTCGTGGTCACGTTATTTCAGAGAATCCATAAGTTGTTAGTGTTTACAGCTCATCCACCATCTTGTAGCCAGTGTATGACAAAGTGACCCACACTTCCCGTGCAAGTTTCAGAACTGCTGTATGTGATGCATCTTCACTTACTGAGAGAGATGCATTGGTACTGGGTCTGGCAATTTAACCTTGGGGTGATGCGGCCCTTGGCGTTTGTAGGTGCATGCATTTCAGTAAACTTAGCATGTGACTTCTGTGCTGCTTATCAATTTTAAGTTTATCGAATATTCTTTCTTGTTTATTTTTAGGGTTATCATCGGCCCAATCATTATATTGCTACCCAAGGTAAGTTTATTTCAGCCTTGAAGTCTTGCTCTGTGTTTTGCCCATTCTCCATCCTTTTGAACCTCCTCCACCCTCCCTGGGAAGATAGTGCACGTGCAGCAGCACAGTTACTGCCCGCGTACCCATCACGGTGCTCACCCTTGCTCTTCCATCAGAAGTTCTGGTAACACAACCATTTAGGTAGAACTTCACCTTGAGATCATTAGAAGAAATATGTTCATTGATTCATTATTGAATTCAATCTGCCTACCTTAGGAACTAGTCTGACATTTGTAAAAATAGATATATAGATATCCATTCAATAAATATGCCCTAACCACTCTCTATAAAAGAACTGGGATAGCTGCTGCTGAGGAGCCAAGCTGCATCCAGCAAGCATCCCCTTCTCCCATGGGTGGTGTTGAGTGGGGAAGACGTGGGGTGACCTGCAGGTACTTCAGTAGGTACAACATCAGGTCACTTGTGTGAGAAGTACAGATAGAAGGTTAGGAAAGTTTGGAGCAGAAAGAGGTTGTTTTCGGGTGGGTTGATCTAAAAACAGCTTTGTGGTAGAGGTGAGATTGGAAGGAAGATTTCTAACTGGGGAAACTTCATAAGCAAAGACCCAGAAGCAGGAAATTAGTATTCCCCAGTGGGACATGGTGGGTGGATTACTTTGGCTAAAGGAAACCAAGAGAAAGCTAGAGGAAGCTCATGGCAATGGTTTTCGTATGATCTTCCCTACCAACTATGAGGTGGGTCGTCTGTGGACAGTGAGGGTCACAAGAGAGCTGAGGGTTTAGGGAATGAGGCATCATATGGGGTGAGTTAGTGAGTCAATATAAGATGAGCTAAAGAAGTGCTGAGAAGCACAGAAGACCCCATTGAGGTTCGTTTTATTATTTTATCATTGTCATCAGTAATATATCCCAGAAACAGGAGCAGAGAAATCAAAAGGATATGACCTGCCCAACATTAGGGATTGGCAGGGGGTGGTGAGCAATGGAAAGCCAAGGAGCAAAAGAATCAGGGATGCCAAGAAAATTGTGGTCGTGAAGTCTAGGCTTGGAGGCAGGGAAATCAGAGGGGTCCAATGGGCCATGAAGATAGGAGAGGATCTAGTGGACTGATGTGCTCAACACTTACAGCAGCGCTGTCCGGTAGAACTTTCTGTAATGGTGGAGATGTTCTGTATCTGTGCAGTTCAAAATGGTAGCCACTAGTCACATGTGGCCACTGAGTGCTTGAAATCTAGCTACTGTTAACGAGGAACTGAATTTTAAATTTTAATGTCAGTCTAAATTGCTTCATTTAGCTATTGCCTGGGGTACTATTAGCGAAGCTTTGGGGTAGAAGCGCTCTAGGTGTGGCTAGAATGGAGCCACTATGGAGCCTTATCCTGCCTGATGTCCACAGCTGCATGGAGGACCTGGGTGGCATCACACAGAGTCCACAGTCTCATATCACCACTAGGGACTCTGCACCCAGGTCTGGATGACCTGCATGGCCTCCAAGTGTCTTTCCTCCCCTGTGACATGAAGTTGGTAGTGGCTCCTTCCAAAGCAGCCTTGCTGGCCAGGTGCAGCATGGTCTGTAGAGCAACCAGCATGAGCCTGGCACACGCAGGCCCCAATGTGGGAGTTGCCAAGTCCTTCAGAAAGCAAGCGCCTGGTGCAATCTCTTACAGCTGGGACAGAACGAGGACATGTACCCAGGACCTCTGAGTTCAGTCCTGGGTGTATTCTCCTACACCCTGCTCCTTCTAAACTGAATTAATAATGCCTTTAGAGGAACCTGTTGTTAGTTCTTTGAAATGCATTCTAATAGCTTTCAGAATGTTCTAAATTGAGTGTCATAACATCTGATTTAATAAATTTAATAATTTGAAATTAGCAGGTTTTTATCTATTCATGTGAAAATTTGATTGTAAAATATCCAAAATACTCCTGAGCTTCTTATCTATCCAATAACTTGATTAGCAACTCATTTTCATAGATAGTAAAAACATAAAGTTAAATAAATCTCATTTGAGTGAAAATTTGATTGTAAAATATCCAAAATACTCCTGAGCTTCTTATCTATCCAATAACTTGCTTAGCAACTCATTTTCATAGATAGTAAAAACATAAAGTTAAATAAATCTCATTTGCATTTTCAAGATTGAAGACCTCTAGATTAGTGTGACTAAACAGCCTGCTGAAGTAGAGGTGGAAACCCTAAGGTCTGTGCATGGCCCCTCACCCTGCTTCCCTGTGTTTGCCCTCTCCAGTCCTCTCTCCCAGAGGGAGATTATTCTTTGAAGAAAAATGCTATTAGAGAAGTCACTTTCTGCAGAATTAGTTTGAATAATACTTAATTGCTTAGTAGCCCTCTTCTGTAGCATTCAACCGATCTAGTGTTAATGAGCAAATGTATTTGCAGGCAGCTAAGAAATGGCAAATGTAATCAGTTTGTAGGCAACTACCAATCTGCCCGTAATGGAGAGCACCCCGAACGCCCTGTTCAGCAGTGCGTGGCAGCCATTCCCCAGTGCGGCGTCGGCTGCAGATTGGACTTCTCAAACCAGCAGGGGGGTAAATGAATGAATATTTTTAATCTAACAGTCAGTCAAGACTGTACATATCATATTAAGAGTAGTACATTCAGGCCATGATGTTCAGATTAGAACGCTAGAATCTCTTTTCTCGTATATGTCACAGGCATAATGGACCTTGTAGCCTCAGATCACCAGTAATAAAGATTGCTGATAACGTGCAGTAATTGGAATGGGCAGATGGAATACATTCAAGGGCTGCCTTCATTAAAAACAAAAAGCTCAACACCTCATTCTAAAAGGCCAAGAAAATGGGTGATAAAGATTAACAGGCAGGTGCAATTTTAAAATCTCTGTTTTGCACTGATATGAAAAGACATGAATGGTGCAATTTACTCACAACCAGTTTTATTCCCAAGAATTAGTAGCAGACCAGCTTTTCACCAAGTTCCTTCAATACAGAGGACATATCACGCATTTATGTATTTGGTCTCTTCTCCCACACCCCACCTCCCTCAACTTTATTGATTTTTCTGCCAGTAACTGTGACCTTTGATGATAATGGTAATGTTTCTGCAAATTGAAGGGATCCCATTCAAACCAGATCCGTTGCTTTTTTAGTATGTTCTTCCTGTCCCCTCTTTGTTTAATTGTTTTGTGTCCGGCAGCTAATGACCCAATATTAACTTCATTACATCTGACTGTGCAGACATTAATACAATTGTAACATTCAAGATTTATGATTCAGCAAACCAGAGGATCAAAGGAGCGGAAGTCACGTCTGTTACTGCTTGTCTGTACGTAGAGTGAGGGTTGAGTTGGGATTTCAAAAGCAGGGCTCACAGTGAGCGGCAGAAGCGTGTGCGGGTGGACAGGATCACCCAGAACTGATCATACTTCACAATCAAAGCACACCCCGTGGAGGCCATGTGGCTGCGAGCTGGGTCAAGCCAGCCACGGCGAGAACTGCCCTCCCCCAGCGATTGCAGACAGCATGCACCGGCCTTGCCGGGGGCCTGGAGAAGTGTTCTTTTTATTACTATTTAGTTTTAGTTTTGTTTTTTTTTTTTTAATTTTATTTTGTCAATATACAATGTGGTTAATTATTGTAGCCCATTACCGAAACCTCCCTACCTCCTCCCTCTCCCCCCTCCCACCCAACAATGTCCTTTCTGTTTGCTTGTTGTATCAACTTCAAGGAATTGTAGTTGTTATGTCTTCTTCCCCCCACCCCACCCCGGTGTGTGTGTGTGTGTGTGTGTGTGTGTGTGTGTGTGTGTGTGTGTGTGTGTGTGTGTGTGTGTGTATTTATATATATT